AGGGAGTGTGTTGCTTGATGTAGCAATCAGCGACTTAAAATTAGTCATCAGATTTACAGGGGATTGAGTTCGTTGCCTTTTACTTTGGTTAACCATAACTATTTGATATGAGAGTTAATAGTTATAGGTATATAGGTAGTAGAGTACTTGTGCAAGTGTTACAACAAGATAAATTTTATGTAACGAATCACGCAAAAATGTAACGCAAACGCCTCTTTTCTTCTATTTCCCTTGTAGTAGAATTTGTATCGATCTACATTTAGACTGAAGATGAGAAAGAATCGAAATCACTTACTCATATATCATCCTTCAAGATTTGGTTAGTAATGACTCAGCATCCTCGGAATATCAACTGTCATCAAAGCAAGACGCTGTATAGCATTTTATACAAGCACTGCCAATGAATTAAAATGGCTTACACATAGATTTCTACGTGTTAATCAATTTACTCTTACTGATCAGCCATGCAGTGACAAATGGCGGGCTTTGGCTGACGTGGGCGCAGCAAAACAAATCTGCCTGACAATAACCAATATTCATGTGGATACAGTTTAATTCACATCTGGTGTTACGATAAAAATACTGACAAAATCATACAAATAAATCACTCAATTCAAATTAATACCCAATTTAAATATAAATGAAGAACAAAAAACGATGCTGTACAAAACAAAGTTATATGGAGAAATTGACTTCAAGCTTTATTTTTTCCCAAATATTTGTAATCCATCCAACAAATACTTGGTTTTTTTGTCAATGCGAAGACAATATTTTTATATTTCTTAATGTGCTCCATTGAATGACTAGTTAGCGGATTGTACTCACAAACTAATGTCAGAAATGACAGCCACCATGTAATTTCTCTATAAATCAAATTCATGTAATGTAAATAATACTTATCCATGCTTGTACAACTGGTGTGTCCTGCATAGATAGGAATGAATATAAATTATATTGTTAACCATCTCAGGCATGTCAAACTGTAGCGAAGTAACGTTCCCGTTCACTGTTGTGCCCAAGTTACGGTGAATAATACTTAACACCGATTTTCTGCGAGAGGTTTATGTGGTGATTAACACGAAGGGGAGGGCATTGGCTACAAAGTACGGACCCATCGGCATGTATGAAACATGCGAGATTGCCGGGGCTAAAGTGTCGAAAACACAGAATATGACAGTGTTAGTTTAAGAACACGATCATTTTTTCACTGGGGATGTGGACCCTTGCGGTTATTGTGATAAGGTGGGGCGGGAAGATACACTGACCGATCGCAAAATGGCGCCATTCACAACAAGAAGAATTACATGTCACCTAGAAGGCGAAGTTTGGGGACAAGTGAGAACGTTACCGGATGATATTATTGTAGGAGCTGCTAGCCTATATAGACTGTCCGATTGGCTTCCCGAAGGTTTTCATCAGACAGCGTCATTTTGTTTCTCTGATTCCTGTGAAGAATAAGTTTGGTTATTTATTTTTTGTGCTTTCAAGTTTCTGTGGCAATTGGATTTAATTTCCGCTATATCCCAATAAATCTTATCTCTCCTTAAAACTTAATGTTCCCTGCTTTATCATGGTCTTTATGTTCACAAATAAAAACAACCTGCCTCATCAACATTTCATTTTTATTACAGCTGTCGTAGTTTTGATTGCAGGACCAATATTGCCAGCACTAAATATAACGTGATCATTCCAAGCATTGTGTTGCACTCTCTCGTATACCTTCAGTAAATGTATCCCTAATTATTTAATACTTATCCTTCTGTTTTTATTCAACTATATTGCTCCCCAGTACCGTTTCGCTGCGGATGTGGCACCTACCTGAATAATCTTTTGCTATCTGTCGAGCACGTTTAACCTTGGAAAACGAAGCGAAATTTGAGATGCACGCATGACCTCGGGGATAGCTTTGTGACTGAGAATTTAAATAGCACCTTTATGAAAACCAGTGTTGCAGATGAACTATTTAAGACACTGGAGCAACAAGAGACGTTTTACTATAGAAAATCACATTGGATTTGATCGTACGTACATAAATGGGACGCTTTATATATATGAAGATAAAGCTTTATCAATTATGTTCTTTGTTGTCGCCTAGAATATCGGGCAGATAATGTTATGCTAAAATCACGAAAAGGGATTATAGGAATGGGAAAAGAGAAGGAGGCATAGGGCCCCCAAGAAGTGGTATGCAGACATATATATCCACTTTGTGTGGAAATAACGAAAGGGAATAACACAATCATTATTTCTGTATTGTTAACTTCTATGTTACACATAGAAGCTAATGTTTATTCCCTGCGAAGAAACGCATAGCATGGTCTTACATTATTAACATTTACTGAAGAAGTGTTTTGTGATTCATGCATCTTGCGGACCAAGGATATATATATGTGAGGTGAGATAATTATATCGGGGGCTAGACGGAAGAGGTGGAGTCTAGTGACTGAGGATATGAAGATTAGGAGGATCATTGCGTCAGGCATCTTAGCTGGTAGCTCATTTTGAATGACTGAAGGATTGTTTAATATGAAGCTGGCTTGCTTGTTAGTCCAGCAATGTTCCGCGAAAACCAGGATGCTTTGATTCCTGAAATGTAACCAATTCCAGGAGTAAATTTAACTATTAGCCAGAAAGAGCGAGAAAGGATGTCAGTCAGTCTTTAGTGATTGTATCTATATTCGATTGCAACACTCACTGTAGTCATGATCGCGTATAGACCCAAGTGGTACTAAAGTACTAAAGTTGTTATCTCTCGAATTCAAGTTTGTTATTTGGCAGGAATCCACTAAGAGTGAACTGGCATTATTCTAAAATAGAGTGAACGCACACGCATTAGAACAAAACTCCTGCTTCACTGAAAAGGAAATTGCGAGTGATGGGATCTAGGAGTTCACTTGTTTTAGACCTTCTGCAATTAGTTTCTTCGGTGGTTATATATCCAGAATTTGTAAAAACAAGATATGCTATCGAGTTGAAGTTGAGTAGTTTTCGTCCATCTTTTCAAAAGTCAAGTTAAGATTATCATTTTCAATGTAAACCCTACTGCCTGCCAAATTATCTTCTCCGTTTAGTCCTTATTATTATCCACATCATCCATCACTAAGCTATGGGTGTTGACCCTCATTGTCCAAATCGACTTGTTTAAGTGATGGTTCACAGGCAAGTACCAAGCCATTCGCCTCGCAGTTGCGTACGTCTGGTTGTTCACTCACGCTCTCTAGCTAGTTAAGCAGTTATCTTCGTCCCACGCACTCGGTCCTGAAATTTACTTCGAATTTCGGACGATCAATATGGTGTTTCGCTTTGTCTTTGATCCACGCACAATACGTACTATAGAAGTTGTGGGTATAGGATCTTGCGTTAATATACGTCGTATTACCCGTGAGTATCAAAACCTTTAGCCTCTGAAATATCAAGTTTGATTTTGCAAAGCAGTGATGACCATTGCAGCTAGCAGCTGATTGCCTCAAAAATCTATAAATGGCCGTTAATATAATATACATAGTTGATTCTGACCCAAAGGGTCCGAACGTTCTACTTCTACAAAGCGGAGAAGCCAAGTAAGGCATTTTACACTCAATAACGGAAACATGTTCGACGACACAAGTCCAAGGGAATCAATCCCGTGTCTGAAGGCACTAATGTCCTGAACCGTGCGTTATGGAGGTTACAGTCAAAGTTATTTCGAGAACAAATCGCTTATCCTTACAGTTTGAGTAGCTATCCCATTTGTTACAGCTTTTGTCACCACTCAAAAAATGCACATCCATAAAAACCTTTCTTAAATGCTTAGAGTCGCAAGAATTGATGTCCCTGGCTTCTTTGAAATGTTGGGTTTTGAAACGCAAATCACAGTTGATGTTTCCTTACTGGTACTTACTGATGGCCTTACAATGGGAAGACTTGACTAGTTCTTTTGTGAGTGAAAGCTCTGTGGACTGAATTTCGTTTTGCTTTGCTTGCAGGTATGAATGTCATTCATTTGGATGAAAGAATGAATGTACATTTGTCAAAATAAACTTGTAAACATCTTCAGCGTTAGCATGTGATAAGGGATATTACTTAGCTAATACTGAGTTTCTGCAGTACTCATTTATTTGCTTTAAATTTAAGCGAGCTTCAGTGCTGGGGGGTGGGTGTACTACAGGCACAGAAGCATGGCATCGTTATCATTAACAAGCTAGTGTTTGTAGTAATAGCTCTCTCTGTGTGGAGGAGGGAGAACAGTTGTTGCAATTAGTTTTGAGAAACACGTTTTAATATTTACTGACAGCTCAGCTACTGTCCATTGCAAAGTGAAAAATGGTCTCAAGGTTTTGACACGGTGCAACCATTTATAGAGTTCAAAGAAGTGAATTGCCAATATTAGTGAGCTTATTACCGCCAAGACACAAAGTGTCTTAATGTTAACCTTAATTTGAAGGTCATCTTTTGAAAGGATACCAAGCAGACAAAAGTCGGGACAAGCGCGATCACCTTGCATTATATTTATCTGAAGAAAATGTGTTGCTTTTCTTGTCAGACGGTTTCAGAGGCTAATTTAGTCTCTTCTTTGAATTTGCCAGCACACATAATCATCCCAGTCAGGGATTGAGCATAGGTGAAGTTGAAAAGGCAGGCAATTTTATAGGACGAGATGCTGGGAAAAGGTCGTGAAAATGCAAATCTACCCAAGTTTTCAACAGATGAAATACTAAGTTCTTCCCTTTTTGTCCATATCAATTCCAAAATAGCCCATATTTTTCTGTCCTGACGAATTCGGAACAGTGAATTTATTGTATTTTTATCCATTCCACCCAAGGTAACGAAAATTTCTCCCAATGGGATCACCATATTGGAGAAGTATCTTGACTTCGCTTCTTGAAATCTCGTTTTTACTCATTGTAATGTCCATACGAAAAATACTTTTCAATACTTTTCACAAACGTGGAACTTTAAAAATATTGAACTCATTAGTTCATCTAAATAATATTTCGAGTTTGAAATTAGAGTGGTTCAATGTGTTCTTTGATGGGCATGTAGCTAGGGCGCGAAATTGAATGTGGCCGTTGCGATGAGATTATCTATACTTCTCTCATCCAGTTTTGTTAAACGCTGTGTCAGTTTTAGTCTTCCTTCTCGTACATATTCTTTATGCAAACCAAGACGCTTAACCGGTCAAGAAGTCAGTTTCGACCTTAGGTAAGTATAATTCGACAAGGTTCTAAGCCATATGTATCCGTGCTTGGGTGACCAGCAGTCATTCCACTAAGGCCGATGTAACCTCCCATATATGTGAAGCGTTTAACATACTGGACTATTTCGCTAGCTATTTTTGGAGCAGGATTCCATGTCAAGTAGTCCCGTAGTATCATCATACAGTGGTGACTCTTACCAGACTACTTTTTGCTCAAACAATTTATTTTGTCAGAGTTGGTTTTCTCCTATCGATTGTAACAAAACTGAATTAGGAGGAACAGATTGTTAACCGTTAAGAGGTAGCTTAGTGGAATAGTCATATTGTAATAACTGACGATTGAAAGTCAAATATATACGTTGTTAGTAGCTAGGTCTCGTGGGTCAAATAATATAGTGGCTTTAGTTCAAATCATACTGCTACTTTGACCATCATTTCACTTTCCGGTCTACTAAAGAAACTGTAATCTCACACTGTGACTTGCAATGTGAAGATACGTGATTTAATTCTAGTTCATCATAGGAAAAGTAGCCTATCACAACACAAGAGGAGTAATATGAAACTCCATATAACACTCTAAAGTGGTGATTTTCCACATTCAAAGTGGCTGATTCCACTCGATCTCATGTGACTTCGGCACTGCATCCAATTAGTTGGCACCATCGAGTAAAGTCGGCGCTATTTCATTCTTACTTATTATTCTGAACAGACGAAAGCTGTTCGAACTCATTGCTGTTGCTCAGATACACAGTCTTCGTATACGCCTAAGAAACGTAGTAGCTTTGAGTTAAGGCTATACAAAGACTGTATTTTCGGTCACTTCTGTGACCACAAAAATTCTTTCCTTAATTGGTATTACGTTTCAGATGACTTTGGGTTCGGATAACCAGATTTTAGAGAGGATGGGTTTTTAAGTGCTGCCAGAATTATTTTTGTTAATTAAGGGGGTAATAATGAGACTCATTGACTCAGGACATTACCAAGTATGTTTCAGATTCTCAATCGTTAGCTAACTTGCTTGGCATTTTAATGTTATCATGCGGGTCTTTTCATTTACTGGTTGGTGCCGAAGAAAACTACTGGGTTGTCATGATAAGCGGTATTCGTATGGATATTAGCGATCATATTGTTTGGTGGCTTTTTAAATTAACGAGTTCCCTTTCAAATGTTTTGGGAAGTATAATTACCAGTTCTTATTTTGCCGGTTCAAAATGAATCAGATATGTTGAGCAGCTCCAAACAAAGCGTCTTAATTTCATTGTTTTGACTTTGATCTTTGGTCTGAAATGAATAATGTCGTATTATCTTCATTGTCCAGGTATGCGGGGACCTAGATTTCTTCTGTTAGTCTTTCTTCACTATTGGTTTTTAGTTATCCTTTCGAATACGTTGAATGCAATGACCATAAATATAATTGCTAGTATTAGTTAAATTTTACTATTTTCTAATTAATAGTATGCAAGATTTCCAACCCAACCCTTCTTCTGTGAAGTGTCAAATTGACTCATTCATTAAAATGCACGTCACAGCTTCACCTTTCGGGACCTGTAATACCTTTTTGTTTAATTCGTATTTCTAAACCTCTGGTATTCGTTTTAAAGGTTGCCTCTAGAATGCAAAAGGCATGGTGTTCGAAAGGAGTAGTGTTGCATCAACTTGGCAACAGTGACTCATTGTTCAACTAAGAGTGTCTTAATGTTTCTGAAAACAATTAGATTCAAAGTTAGCGATTCGGAGGCATTCTAGAGTATGGTAAATGCTCGATGTTGGCGCTCAATAAAGTTAGTCTTAAGTAAATCATATGCTTCCCAGTTTAAATGATTTCTTATGCTGGTTTTATAAATTACTTTGTTGATGTGCAGACAGTCTTAGTACTGCGATTCTCGATAGCTCGTAGGTTTGATGGTTACATAAAGAGTGCTGACTACTCTTTTTGCCATTCACATATGTTGAGAATTCACTATGACCAGTAGGTTATTCCCCTAACTGGTTCTACTATCGAGATACAGCTGTAGTTAGAAGGTGGATGACTTGCCGGTTAACTTTGTTTCTGAAACATAAACAAATCTTACTGTAACATGCCCGGGTAATAGTAAAAAAACATGTACTGAGTTACATTTAAGAACTCGCATTTAGAAAAAATAAAGCTCTTAGAGACAGACATGGTAAAGCTATGGTGGTGTTCTTTAAAGGTGACTATTGGTGTTAACATTAATTTGTAGTTAGATATATTGTCGACTTATTCCAGGATATTTGCAAAATTTATGATTTTAAAACCCTCGTACAATTCCTAATAAAGATTGTCCATTTTTTACACAGGTTTTGTCCCCTAAGAAAATTTCATCTCCATCCTTATCTTTTCGCTGTACGTGTGGTTAACGTCCCTCCATTCGCTGAATCTGTTACAGAAGGAGATATTGTATGGAAAAAGGCAGTTGGCGATGCGGTCGAAGTAGACGAAGTTGTTGCAGAAATCGAAACTGATAAAACAAATGTTTCAGTTCCAGCCCCTTGTGCAGGTGTAATAACACAGCTGTTGGTTGAAGATGGGGGAAAAGTTACTGTTGGTCAAGAAATATTTAAAATGGAAGAAGGTGCTTCCCCCGCTTCAAAATCGCCAGAAAAGAAACCTGTTCAAGAACCTGAGAAAAAACAAACTAAAGATACACCTCCATCTCCAAAGCCAACACCTGTTCCAGCTTCACCTGTGCTTAAATCCGAAAGCGTACCTGCGGCGAAGGTTCCAGACACTGCTGTATTATCTTCGCAAACACCAACATCTTCCGAAGGTGCACGCTCAGAACAACGTGTTAAGATGAGCCGTATGAGACTCCGAATAGCTCAACGACTAAAAGATGCGCAAAACACGTGTGCCATGTTGAGTACTTTCAATGAAATTGATATGTCAAATCTTTTTGAACTTAGACGTCAGTATAAAGACACTTTTTTGAAAAGTCACGGTGTTAAACTGGGGATGATGTCTACGTTTGCTAAAGCTTCTGCTATTGCTCTTATGGACCAACCAGCTGTCAACGCTGTAATTGATGGTTCTGACATAATATACAGAGACTATGTAGATATAAGTATCGCGGTAGCAACACCCAAAGGACTTGTTGTCCCCGTACTGCGTAATGTTGAAAAAATGAATTATGCTGATATTGAGCGTGGGATTCACGATATGGGAGTGAAAGCTCGTGATGGGAAGTTGGCAGTTGAAGATATGGATGGAGGTACTTTTACAATCAGTAATGGTGGTGTCTTTGGTTCATTGTTTGGAACGCCTATAATCAATCCACCGCAATCAGCAATCTTAGGTTTATATGGTGTATTTGATCGTCCTGTTGCACGAAATGGACAAGTTGTTATTCGTCCAATGATGTATGTCGCCTTAACGTACGATCATCGTTTGATTGATGGTCGTGAAGCAGTCACATTTTTACGAAAAATCAAGGAATTTGTTGAAGATCCACGAATGTACTTCCTTCAGATATGAATATACTTAGTTTACTTTAAAGAACATATTTCAAATGCTTTAATGAAGAAAGTTGAAGATATTCTTTCGTCTACAGTTTTTAGGTAGTTTTTTTGCGCCACTTCCTATACCTGTTTTTCTGTAACATTAGTAACAGTTTCTACGTCGGTTAGTTTGTGTATACTATATATTTGCAAACACACTCATACACTACTACTTTCACAACCTTAACTTTTCTTCAATCAGAATGTGCATAATTTATTGTCAGTTTCAGAATAACTTTTATCATTCTGGTAGATTTATTGACAGTATAACTTGTACATTTTGTTTAAGATAAATATTTGTAACTCCAGTCTTCAGGTATTCAACTTTATAGTTTTTAAACCCCTCTCTCTCTCTCTCTAGTTGAGTTTTTGAAGTCTGTATTAACAATTGGTTTCTTATTCATATATGCATTTGGCAGTTTTGTTTCAACTTATAGCAATAAATAAGAAATGAACCCGACTAATATGTGATGGTTTCGTAAATCCTTATCATTTGTTCCATATCTCTTCCTTCAGTATTCACTTGTGTTATAACGATTATGAAAGTCACTGAGTGAGTGATTGTAGTGTTTTATTGATTCTTAGTTCGCTCATATATTCATCCTGCATCACAGGTACTCTGGTGAAATAGTTTCATTTGGCGCAATGAATTCATCATATAACTTCAAAATAAAATTACATGTTTTTGTGTTATAAGTGTAGAGGTTTCCACAGAGATATACTGTCGTATTATCTATCTTAGACCAAGGAAATGATCTAGGAACCGGTTTTTTGTGTTGATTTCCACTCATCATTTTGATGGATTTTCGCTAAGAAGTTTGTTGATGATCGGTCCTATATGAAGTTGGCGACGTGGCTTTAATAGGCTATCTGGGTTGTTTCTATGGCTCTCATCGTTGTTTGTGAACGCAGAGTGAAGTGAAGATGACTCACTAGCCTGAAGAATAGTGCTAGCTGTAGTAGAGAAGCAAGATGAGGAAGGTGATGTAAGTAGGGGAGAGTGATGCTCAGGTAGGCTTCGTGTGCTTTTGGAAGTGTGTGGGCGGTTGTTACTTCCCGGCTACCCACACCGTGGAAGTTGGTTGGGTCTTCGGGTACCTGAAATAGAGGAGAGGTTAGTGTTGCGTGACCGCAGAGCCCAGGGGACAACTGCTTGTGGCCGGTCACACGCGGCCTGTTTTTGTTTGTTCTTATTCATTTGGTGTGTCTCAGTAGCGTATTTATCACTTCTGCCCTGTGACACGGCAGCAGAAAGCGCGGTCGTTGTTAATCCGGGCCCCGACCGATCCGGCATGATATTTTGTGGATTTGTTTGAATCATAGTGTAGGATTGGGTAGCTGCTTTTTGTCTAACCGCTATCCAAACAACCTTTCTGGCATGGTAGGACCTACAGGAACATACGTTCCAGCCAGTGTAGCTCGTTGGGTCATTGCGATATGCAAGCCCGACCACCACGTCAAGGTAGCAGCTATCGCCTGGGTTTGTTGATGATTCGGTTGATATGTCTCACTTCTGGTTCTCTTACAGCATACCTATGGTTTACTGCCAAACAAAGTTTTAGGCAGTACTGTACAATTCAGAATTCAACCTGTACACACAATTATTGATTTCTTCTCTGTTAACAAGAAGAAGAAAAACGACTGACCTAGAACACCTATCCAATGGTATAAAATGTAGGTAGTGCGATAAAATTACTCACAAACTATTGACGAAAACAAAACACGCAGTCCAGCGATGAGGCTGTTTTCGGCGAATTCTTTCCCTTTAGTTGTACATTCGTATTTATAATTTCATAAGTGAGTCGTAATCAGGATGCACATGGGAACGAAGGAAAATATGGAATTACTCAAGAGTTATAAGGAGTTAGAAAACCAAACAAGCAAAAATCAACTTAATAGAAATAAGCAGGGTTTTTATCGTGACAGTAGAAGTGGTTGAATAATTCTGTTGTATTTATACAGCTCCGTCTAGAGCTTCAGAAATGCAAAGGATATGAAAGCGTATTGTCTTTGAAGGAGGCGTGTTTTGAAATGGAATGGACAGTGTTGACATTGTGTTCGATAAACGCACTACTTATAGACTCACTAGTACTTTTCTCCAACCATGTGGCATAGTGTTCTTGAACCCTTTTAGGCAGGATATGTGTCGAATTATCAATATACCTGGTTCCGAAAGGACCACTGAACTGATATATGTACATAGTGGTCAGATGAGAGACCTTATCCTTAAAACATATGTAGACCAATGGATAACCGGAAAACAATACTCTTGGTGTTGCTGTGAAGAAATGTTCTCAAAGGTAATGAAATTATCTTAAGAATATCTCAGGTCAAGTCACTTTAGAAATGCAGGTTCATTTCAATTTTCTTATTTAGAATAAGTAATGTTTCTGTTCTCTGAATTTCTGGTTTGTTATTCTTGTCAATAAATTTGGGTGGGTATTGCTTATGATGAAGATTTCCTCCTGAAAATCTAGTTCTGCTTCTAGGGCTTCAGAACTACAGATGCATCGGATCTGAGTGTCAAGCGATTTGGTTAAATTTCGTTTTTGCTGATAAAGCACTCAATTGTAGAAACTCGTTAGTTAGCCGTTCTAATTTGGTTTCCTATGGACGAACCTTAAGATTGCGTCATTTCTTCCTGTTAGTTCCACATCCAGAAGGGAAATCTTAGATTCGTATACCATTTCAAGAGTGAAATACACTGTCGAATGACAGTTGTCAAATACCTGTAGCAATTGACTGAGGTCATAACTGTTGTAAATTTCCAATGTTCGACTTTAATAGACCATTCTCAATGCTTTCCATGAAACAGTCTGCTAGTAATGGCTTCAAGGGAATTCCTATTCCAACGCGACACCTTTTTTCGTAGATGTCACTGAAAGTGAATTGCACATCAAGAGTACACCTCAACAGCAATTCTTTCAAATACGTTGTTAGTAGTCCAAATTTTTAACTGATTATCATATATATATATATATATATATATATATATATATATAAACAGACAGTTTTCGTGTCTGGGACATTAGTGAAAAGTGACTCAATGTCTAAAGATTCCATACTTTTGTTAGTAATATTCAGGTCTTGTATGCAGTCGGTGAATCGTAAAGTGTCTCGAAGTGAATATATACATATAATATTTCCTTCCAGAATATCAGCCAACCATTTTACAATAGAATGAGAAGAGGAACTTGACACATTTAGAATTGGATAGAGTGGGAGACTAACTTCATGTATCTGTGGTAAACCATAAAGTCTTGGTATTTTTGAACTTTTAGGCCGGATATAATCATAGATATCCCGGCTAATTAACTGATTGGTTTTCATTCTTTTCAAGACGTTTGTAAGCTGTTTCTCAATCAATCCAGTTTTGTTTCTTTCGTTGAGGTTGAAGGTTGAGAAAATCTATTATTGTCTGAGAGTATAATTTTCATTTACTTTGTGCAGTCTTTTCAATCCAAAAGAACTGCACAAGCACTCCGTCAAGGATGCCGATTATCCCCATTTCTATTCAATTTCATCATAGACGTACTAATGGATTTAACCCTAACTCACTTCAGAGACTCAGGGATTGACTTGCTACCAGGGAATAATCTCGTCGACTTAGAATATGCAGACAATATAGTCCTTCTAGGCGAGGACGCTGACAAAATGCAGAGTCTTCTGAACACCTTGAGCAGCAATCTTCGTATGTTTGGCATGCGATTCGTCCCTGTAAAATGTAAGATGATGTTGCAGGATTGGACTACACCGACTCCTAGATTAGAAATAGGAAGTGAAGTGGTAGAGCATGTTGACCGCTTCACTTATTTGGGAAGTACCATCAGCCCCAACGGGTTGATCTCTGACGAAATCTCAGCGCGGATACAGAGGGCTAGTTTCGCATATGCCAGTTTACGCCGTCTCTGGCGTAGACGCGATATCCGACTATCGACGGCGTGTGTACTGCTCAACAGTCCGCTCCGTCCTCCTTTATGGCTGTGAGACCTGGCCATTGAGAGCGGAAGACATGAAAAGATTAGCTGTCTTTGATCATAGGTGTCTGCGTTCTATCTCCCGCGTGAAGTGGTATAATAAGGTGAGCAATATTGAGGTTAGGCGTCGAGTGCTAGGTAAGGAGGGGAAATCAATCGACGAGACTGTGAAATTACATCGACTGAGATGGTTAGGACATGTGTTACGTATGCCTAGTCATCGCTTTCCTCGACGGGCAATGTTAGCTGATATAGGATCAGGCTGGAAAAGAGCTAGCGGCGGTCAAACGAAAACATGGCACCAGTCAATGAAATCCACAACAGTTAGTCTAAGCCACGTAGGAAGGTGTAGACTTCCTGGTTGGGGTCCTCGGGACGGTAAAACCAATGGTTGGAAACAATTGGTGACATGGCTCAAAATTGTTCTCAGTGGCGCAGATGCATCCACTCCTTGTGACTTATGATTTCCAATGAAACTGTTTTGTTCTTCGTTATTACTATTCCTTTGTCTCACACCTCTGTTTACTGTCTCTATTATGCATTTCTCCTACTTTCTTCTCTTGCTTTGTGTGCTACATGGAGGGAGTGTGGCGACTTGAACTGCCGCACATATGTGCAAAGTTCTATGTCGAAAACCGACCGACCCTTGTCAGGACGCGCTATTAGTAGATCTTTGTTAGCTTTCAACTGTCTTAATTCTTCTCGGTGCGCTTTGTTAGGCGATTGCAGACTTTTATACCGGTGACAGCAATCGATGAGGAGCAGCGGAAAATATTTTGCAGGAAATTTTGCTGTGAGGCTTGAACGGTTTGAGGCTGTTGGTGATCTGGGTTGCAGCAGATTTTGACTGTTTCTTAGCAACTATATTGACATCTGTTAATCTTTGATATTCATAGGAAAGCAATATGTGTTGGGTTGAAGATCTTTCGGAAATATTCCGTGGGAGTTCTGGGATGTGTGTTCGAATGGCATCAGCACAATTCACTGCATGACGTCTAAGTGACTTTGTATTAGGATGTATATGATTCTGTCGCAGTTCATTCCAGAACCATTTTGGATATTTGTGATTAGTGACACAATTCTCGAAAAAAAAATTAATTTTCGCATTCACTATAGCAAGCTTGACAGAGTACGGTAGAAACCCCCTTTGAGTTGCTTGATTGTCGACGAGTCCTCGCTACTTTTCAATAATACCCAACCAAACATTAATGAAAACAAAAAGTGTAGTTTAGCATCGACTGAAGCTCTAGCGATCCGAGAGAGAGAAAGAGAAACCGGAGCTGTGCATACAAAACAAAATTATTCAACCAGTTCTACTATCATGGTAACAACCCTGTTGATTTCTACTAACTTGATTTTTGTTTCACTAACTCCTCTTGTATTTCTTTAGAACTCTTGAGTAATTCCATATTTTCCTTCGTTCCCATGTGCATCCTGATTATAACTCACATTCATTAAAGTATTCATCTTATTACGTAACCCTGATACACGTATTCCACTCCTCTTCTGCACTGACTAATATTAACGACTATGATTACGCCAACCCACCACACTTGTCAATACCCTTTTTGTTAAAGAAAACTGTATATAAATGCGATTGTAGAGCTAAAGGGAAAGAATTCACCGAAAACAGCCTCATCGCTGAACTGCGTGTGTTTTGTTTTCGTCAATAGTTTATCAGTAATTTTATCGCACGACCTACATTTTATACCATTGGATAGGTGTTCTAGGTCAGTCGTTT